CTTTTAAGTAGGTGTTGTGAAGGTACTATAACATTCCTTATGCATAACCACACTCCCGAACCTGATTTGGTTTCGTGTACTAGAATCTACCATTTAAAAATATTTAAGGCAAGTTTAGGACTCATTTTTAAAATGGGACAAATTTAGTTAGGTGGTCAATCACACCTACACAAAAAAAAGATTGGTAACGACCCTTTAAAATTGATGTCTAGCATAAATTCACGGATCTATATGTTATGACAAGTCCTTCAAAGTTCTGAAGTGATCTAGGTGGTCTTCTAGACCAGTGGCCTAATCATAGGTTCTTTTAGGAAGTTTTATGGAAGCTAGGATATTGGCTTATTTGATAAACGGAGTTAGAAAATTATGGTTGTTTTCTAACCATTGGAAGTATTTGTTCTTTTTCTTTTTTTAAGGTAGCAAGCTCTTTACGCACGTCAGCCACTTGTAAGACTAGTTCATTCTCAGGGTTATGGTTGGTAGGAGTTTAGTTTTATGTGGTGAGGTTGTTAAGGTATATACTGTCTTGGATGTGTTGGGGGGTAGCTTTCTTTGGGTTAAGTAGAGTTTTGTGGTGGTTTTCAAAAAGAAAAAAAACTTTCTCTTAGGTGGGTTTTTCATGTGGGGGTTATTGGGTAGTCTACTAATATTATTGAAGTGCCTTTGCTGGGTGGCAACTTGGGCATTCAGTAGTTGGATTTGGTTCATCGGTGTTTGGTAAAATTCTAATAGGGGTTGTTGCATGTTGGTTTGGTACATAGGGATTTGTAGGGGTGGTAATGTAACTTGCATAGTTGATGTTGCAAGAGGAATATTTTGCTAATTAATGGCATTAATGGGTTGTGAAGACTAGACTTGTACATGAGGTGGTTGGAAAGATGGGTTTGAGGTTCTAATAGCATTGGTGTGGACCAATGGTAAGGCTAATGTCATATTTAAAGATAAAACTGCAATTAGGTTTTCATAGTATCCTAAAGGTTGTGCAATCCATGCATTTAATGATAGTGATTAGTGGGGAATGGAGAAATGGGGTCATACCTTGGATTCCATAACAAAATGTTTGGTGATAGGATCTGTAAAGGGTTGGTAGCATGGGTGTTGCATCAAAAACAGCTACAAGTTAGGTAGTTGGATTTATGGTAGGTGTTGCTGTTCTAAAATAGTAGGGATGGTGAAACATGGCTATCGTTTCCCACAGACGATGCCAATTATTAATGGTGTTTTTGGGTGTCTTAGCTAGATAAAAGCTTATTCAAGGTCAAAGGTTATGGAACCTGCGCCTTAGATAGAAAGCATAGTCAAAGGGCACTAGAGTTGGTTTTTCATAATGCGTTTTGACGTTCAAGTCAGTGACGTGTTTAGAGTTTTAAAAGGAAAAAGGTAAAGTGTGCTAAAAAAGCTATGATGGAGGGAAAATGTTTAAGCTTTAAGTCTTACGCTCCTAGACATCCTCCTTACCTTATATATAAGATGAAAGACGACGATTTGATCGAAATAGTTGATAGTAAGTTTATGTAAAGCTCGAGAAAGGTCCACGTGAGTGGTTGCAAACTACATTTAATGATTCTAGACAAGTGTAGGTTGTTTTTAATAATGCTAAACAAGTTGGAGGCCAGGAAACTGCATTTAATAATCCCAAGTAAACGTGGACTGCATTTAATTATCCTAGACAAGTTGAAGGCCAAGTGTTTAACTTTAAAGTGATGCCTTGATAAGAGGACGATGGAGCTATTGGGCAAGTCATTCTTTCGCAAACGGTGAGCCAGTTCTATGGTAAGTGACGTAGGAACTGAATGTGTGCTGACCGGATGTCCAAGAGAACTAAACTTGTTGACCATGCAAATAGGTATAACAATTAGTAAAAATCAAAGCGCTTTGATGGCTGGAAGAAATGCAGTTGACAATGTCATGATGGCTCAAGAGTCGGTCGAAAGGTATCATACGAAAACACTTTCCCCCATTTGTGCTCTAAAAATCGATATTTGTAACGCTTTTGATTCCCTAAATTGGAACTTCTTGTTCTTTATGCTTGAAGCTTTGGGATTTCCTAACCTATTTCTTAATTGGATCAAAGTGTGCGTTACTACACCTAAATTTTCCTTAGCTATTAATAGAAGGCTATTTGGTTATTTTTCTGGCACTAAAGGAGTACTTCAAGAAGATCCTTTATAACCATATCTCTTTGTGATTGCTATGGAGGTACTATATTCTTTATTAAACAAAGCTGCTTCCAAGGGAGTATTCTCTTATCACCCTCGATGGCTTACCCATTTATGTTTTGCTGATGGTCTCATTGTCTTCACCAAAAGTAATCCTGCTTCTATTGCAATTTATAGCATTTTGGAAAATTTCTGTAATATATCTGGATTGCAACTCAATAGTTCAAAGAACGAAATCTGTTGTTCCAGAATATTTAATAATGATCTCCGTCTCATTCATCTCTCCACTGAGTTTAAAATTGGTGTTTTACCAATAACGTACCTGAGTGTTCCACTTACTTCACGTAAGCTATCTACAAAGGATTGTGCACCTTTCATAGACAAAATCACTTGTAGAATCAAAAGCTAGGCCGCTAAAAATTTATCATATGCTGGTTGACTGCAATTGATCAAATCTGTGCCTTTCAGTATATAGAACTTGTGCTTTTCAGTATATAGAACTTTTGGTGTATGAATTTTATCCTTCCCTAAAATGTCATTAAGAAAGTAACTCAGCTCTGTACCGTTTTCTCTTTCTAGAGAGGTAAGGTAGCTAAAGCTCAAGGAGCTCTAGTAAACTAGCATTGCATATGTCATCCCAATTCTGAGGGTGGCCTTGGAATAAAGGATTTAAAATCTCGGAACCAAGCTTGCATTTTAAGGGATTTATGGGTCTCCTCTCCTAATCCGACTCTTTATGGATATAGCCTTGGTGAAAAAATATCTATTAAAAGGTAACGGTATTTGGCAAGTTTCTCCTTCATAGAGCAGCAGTTGGAGTTGGAAGGAATTACTAAAATTGTGAAGTATTGCATTAACTTTCATGCAAGATGGAAGGCAGATATGGTTGAACTCAGTTGATACATATTTTGTTAAAAAAAAAAAATTAAGAGAATAAAAATAATATAATAAAATTTTGGCTTTGAGATGTAAAAATTTTTTATTAAAAATAATTATGTTTCTAAAATACAATAAAGTATTAAACTCTTCAGTCAAAAGTAATAAAATAGTTATACTGAAATATCTATTTATAATGAATGAATATATATAAATTTTTATTTAAATGATTATGATCTTTTGTATAATTATGACATTTATAAATAATAATTTATTTATATTTAAATAATTATAACCATTTATCATATGATAATTATTTTTATTCAAATAAAATTATTTAAAATATGAATAAAATTAATATAAAAATTAATTTTATTTATCAATAATTAAATCTTTTTATCTAATGTATGATGCAACACATTTTAAACTGCTAACATATTTTACTGCAAGTACATGAATGAAATTAGACACAAACAAGAGAAGGATGATTGGCAGGGGATTCTTTGGTTTAAATACCATATCCCCAGACATGCTCTTATTTCAAACATGGCCATCCTCGACAAACTACGTACCGAACAAAGATTACGCAATTGGGGCATCCATATTAATCCCAACTGCTTGTTTTGACACCAGGAAGTTGAATCCAAATCACTAACCGAATTTCGTTACAAGTGTTACAGCTATGTGGGATCCAAAGGAAGTGATTAACTGACATTATGATTTTTTTTTTTTTGGATCAAAACTAGATCAAAAGGTAAATCTTTTTTGGTTACTATTTTTAAACTTGCTTGGAAAGCCGTTATTTATGGAGTCTGGATGGATAAAAATAAGAGTATTAATTTGTAAAGCAAATTGATAGTATTACAACCATCTTATAATTCATCAAGGATGTTGTCCGCTGCAGGCTTCACAGAATTCAACACCTAGTTGATAATTCTGTTAATCAATCTCTTTCTAGTAATTGGAATCTTGACGAGTCGATGCATGATTGACTCATCTCATCTTCATTTTTTCTTAGAAGCTATGTTTGTATAAACTAAATTCTTTGTACTGCTTTTGGATGAATAAAATCACATTCATTTATCTAAAAAACTAGCAAGATGTAGAAATTATACTTAAATTTTATCATTCTAATATGTAATTTGATTTTGACATAAACAAGGTAAAAGAATATATTATAAAAAGTTTATTTCTATGTATGTACTATATGATTCTAAAAATTTAAATGAATCGAGAAGAACAAGAAAATAATCTTATTAAAGATGTAGTTTATTTACAATAAAATGTTAAGTTTTTAAAAGAAAATTTTGATAAATTTCATATTTTATTTATAAAAAAATGTGTGTTTTCCTCATAGATTGATTGAATAACAAATGTTACTCACAAGAAATTGTATTTTTTGAAGAAAATAATGATACATGATATATGTTATTTATACTTGTAAAACTTATTATTTTTTAGTCAATTAATCTTTGTAAATTTATTTATTTATGGTAAAAAAAATTTTTCTTTTCCCATAGATATAGGTATTTTAAGCTAAATCATGTACAATAAATTATATCACCAATTTTTTTTAAAATTTTTTTCATAATTATAACACAAATAAAAATACTTTAAAAAACTTAAAAATTAGAAAATAATATAAAAAATAAAAAATACTATTAAGTCATGAACTAACACAATTCAACTTTTCATGGGTGATGCCAAGTACCGACTCGTATTAGTGTCTATCATGAATCATGCTAAGCCAAAATTTTGAAAATATGAATACCACGGCTCATAGTTAAATCGTGTTTGACACGGCCTACTACCATGCCGTACCAAATATTAAGCCCGGCCCCATCCATGCAAATGGCAAATGCAATTGCAAAGCTGGTTCTTGAAACTGCCAGGCTGGCAACCGTTAGAAATTGAGAATCCAACGTCAGGATCCGCTGGCCTTTATTCTTTGATGCCCAATATCTCTCTTTTCTTTCTCAGTCTGCTCTTTGGTCACTGAAAAAAAAAAAAAAAAAAACCGCAGCAGAAGCTTCCAAAAACACCTCGTGTAACACTCTTGCTCTTGTCTTGTGGTGTTCATTGCATTGAGAAGCTTCGTGAGTTTGGCTTAGATTCAACCCACATTGTCTTCGGTTGGTACTTTATGCTTTGTTTCTGCTTTCTTTTTTTTTTTTTAACTTGCTTATTTGGGTTTTTGGTTTTCTCATCTCTAGATCTGGGGTAAGTTGTTTTCTTTTTTTTTTTTTTTCTGAATTGTGGGTTTTCATCGATGGTTCTGTTACGTACATTGTGTGTTCTGCTGTTTGGGTGCTGAGAAAATCTGGATACTAGGAATATAATTGAATCTAGGATTCATTCATGGTCTGGAAGAGATTGGTTTACTACATTTTGAGTGGCTCTTTTCTTTTACGCCGCAATTTTCTGTTTGATGGCTAAGAAAGAATGTAAACAAAAAACAATGACTCTTGAAAGAAAATTTGTATTAGTAATTCTTTATTTAGTATTTTAGAATTTTGAGCATTTTCATTAATTAGTGGATCCTCCCTATGGAATCTGATTCCTACGTTTATTCACGAAACGTGTTTGGAAATTGGATTTGGGTAAATGTGAATTTTAACTTGCCTATAACTTATGGGAAGAATATATTCCATAGAATGAACTTTTGATAGACTGAGATATATAGAATTTTGTGTCATCCTCTTTCTTTTTGTTGATTCTTTGAACAAAATTCAATCATTTATTAACCCTTTGCTAAACCGTGGTTTCTTTATGCAGTTGCCGAGATGGTTGCAAAGGAATTCACTGTTGATTTGAATAAACCCCTTGTCTTCCAGGTACCAAAATCATAAGTTTAATTTTGGTTTTATCTTTTGGGACAAGCATGTGTAGTTGACAGCTATGTTGTAATTGGTTTTTGCTTCATGTATTCAGTTTCTTACAAGATTAAAAGGGTGTGAGATTCTGATCTTTTTGAATATTTTATTGTTTACCAGATCCTGTATTTCTGTTATTTATTTCCTTGAGTTGATTTCTTGGTGGTGTCAATTATGCTAACTTCTTTACAACTTCTTGTTCTGTTTCACTCCTTGACTTTCCTTGGCTACTCGCTTTTGCTTCCTTGTTCCATTTTAAATCCTCTTTAGCAATCTTAGGCATCACGGAGATCCTATTGAGAAAATTAGGGGTCGTTATATCTAACTTCAATCATAGATTATATAATTTGACTGTGTAAGGATCTATGACAGGTTGGTCACCTTGGAGAAACTTATCAGGAGTGGGTTCACCAGCCTATTGCGAGCAAGGAAGGTCCTCGATTTTTTGAGAGTGATTTTTGGGAGGTATTTACGAACATTTTGAAATATTTTAATTAGGCATTACTCAGGCAGTTTGTCATAAGAACATGCTAATGCTTCTTTGACTTGTTTTACTGAAACAGTTCTTTACCCGCACTGTCTGGTGGGCAATTCCAACCATATGGCTGCCAGTCGTATGCTGGTGCATCACAATGTCTCTACATATGGGGCACACACTTCCCCAAATAGCTTTAATGGTTGGTTTTGGTATTTTTGTGTGGACATTTCTGGAATACACTTTGCACCGTTTCCTTTTCCACATTGAAACAAAGAGTTATTGGTTAGTTTTTTCTCTTCTGTGCTCATGCCTCTTATACACACACATACATACACGCACACACTGTACCAATATTTTGCTTTTGTATTAGGACTTTTAATCAGTTTTCTGTGTATGTTAGCCTTCAGAGTGTGCTAGATGTAATAATTCATTGAGAACTTTGGTATAGGGGAAACACTATACACTATCTTCTTCATGGCTGCCACCACAAGCACCCTATGGATGGCCTACGACTTGTTTTTCCACCTGCTGCAACTGCTGTACTATGCATACCAGTATGTATATTTTGCTTCAATTCTTAGTCCTTCATATATTACATGATGCTTGCCAGGTCTCCATTCAAATAGATGACTTCAGGGCTGCGACAATAGTTTATGTGTATAATGACCTTTACAGTTGGTAATTTCATTTCCTGTTATTCCTGATACTGTCATCTAAAATCCTTTGAAACCTCAAACTCTGAACTGTGAAAGTTCAGATCAAAAGCATTTTTGTTGCGTGTATAAAGTCAAGTATTTTTGAATTATTCTAATTCCTTACTTTCCACTTACTGTTTATTTTCGCTGTTTCTTTACCAGTTTTGGAACCTGGTTAAACTTTTAGCCACTCCCTCCACTACTCCTGCTTTGTTCGGAGGTGGTTTGCTTGGGTATGTTATGTACGATGTCACCCACTACTACCTACACCATGGTCAGCCCACCAAACAAGTTCCTAAATGCCTTAAGGTAAGATACTTGTGCTTTAACTAGTTGCAGGTAACACCAGTTTAACACTTCTCATCATCTAGAGTAGGTTCTCATTATAAATTTTCAGTTCCACTGACTTAGTAAAAGCAGAATTTAAGCCTCATCGATAATAATAGCAAGATATCTAAACCTCAAAAGTTCATTGTCTTTAGCAAAGCAGCATTGTGTGAGTGTTCTGTGGCTTGATTTGACCATTTTTATTGCAGAAATATCACTTGAACCATCACTTTAGGATTCAAAATAAGGGCTTTGGGATCACTTCAGCGTTTTGGGACAGAGTTTTTGGAACCCTTCCTCAAACGAAAGCAGCTGAGAAGACCAGATAATTTAGTTGGCAAGAACAGCAAACATTGATTGGTTACAACCTGTGAGGTCCAGGTCCGGATTGAGGGTTTAAACAATTTTTTCGTGTGCTTCCATTTATTCTGTAGCATGTTGCTCTAGTCTGGATGAAGTCTTGTGGGGTTGGCATCTCATCTCATGGATGGTATCCTATCTCTATACATTGAGTTGTTTGTGTAAATGAATTAATTGAGTAGTGTTCCCATTGTTTTCAATTGTTTATGGACCGTAGCTTCAACAAAACAAAACCTCTTTCTTTATTTCACTTTGAATTTCCCAATTATTTTGTAGGAAAATGATTGTGCTTTTAAAAAATCATTGCTATTACACTTCTTATAGGCTACTGGTCGCTGGGAAATGATTTGGCAAGAGGTTTTTTAGTTTTTTTTTTTTTTGGGTTATATTCATGATTGACCAAAAGAGGCATGTATGGCTTGGTCGAACGGATTTTACTGGTGGAGTGGCCTTTTTAATTAAAATAGTGAAGTAAGACTGTAAGATTGACACTTTAATTAAATAGTTAGAGGAGGGTTTTTTTTTTTTTTTCGATTATTATCTAATAAATTGGCTTCCGAATGAAAAGGCTCTATAAGCTTTGATACCTTTTTCATGTCTCTAACTATCTAATTGTTAAATATGTCGGCTTTGTTATTTAATGATAGTTTTTATTTAACAATTAAATGGAAAAAGTGTTTTTTTTAATTAATATGATAATTTTTTCATATTTTGTCTTTTTATTTAAGCTAATTTATAAAAAGGAAAAAATATTTTATATTTATTGTGCACAAACTTAATTATATATATAATAAATATGTTAATTTTTCATATTTTACTTTTTATTTAATATCAATTTATTAAAAAATAATTAATATTTACATATTTACATTGAAATTAATATAAATAGAAAACATTTGATATTTAATGAGTACTAACAGACATTTATTGTTCAATATTCAATTATATACTATATTATTTTTTGGCCAAACAATACTATTAAATTCTCTTTAGCCTTATTGGTACGGGCACTAAAGCTATGTATGGTCCATGGTGGATTCTTAATGGATTAAGGAAGGTAATATAATCTGAATTCAGTGGATTCTGGCTCAACTTGATTTTTTAGAGTAGTTTTTTTTTTTTTTTTTAAATCGAGTATCGGGTCGGATCGGATCGAATCCGATAATATAAGAAAAAATTTGGGGTCGAATTTTAGGCAAACTTGACCCTATTCAATCCGATACATATAAAAAATTATTTTTTAATTATTTATTTAATTTTATATTTATATATATTTATATAATTTATATTTATATTAAAAAATAATATTTTATTAATTTTGGGTTGGGTCGGGTATAGTTTTATTCAATAACAAGTCGGGTTGAGTTTAGGTATAAAAAAATAAAAAATTATCGAATTGGGTTAGGTTCGAGTTTTATATATATATAATCGGATTGGGTTTGGGGCGAGCAAAACCCGCCCCGACCCGACCCGTTGCCATCACTAGACATTGCAAAATGGTCAAACAGTCGCTACTCAAGTCAAGTAACTAAAAAGCTAAGAGCATGTTTGGTCAGGCAAATGGCATGGTTTATGAAACATGAAAATGACATAGTAACATGGAAAATTTTGTCTAATCTGTTTGATGCATTGGAGCCATTGATGAAGGGGCTTAAGCCATTCAAAGAAAATCTTGAGTTGTAGTTCACTTGGGATGTTAAGGGTGATTTTTTTACTCAAATGGAGGATTTTACAATGGAGTTCTGACTGACACATTAAATTTAATGGCAATGGTGTAAACTTGACAAAGGTCCCACAAAAGGATAAAGACATTGTATAGGCAATCAAGGTGAAATATTTGAAACAAGTGGAGAAAATGGTGTTATGAGTATAGGCAAATTGGTTTAAGTTTATGGTCAACATGAGCTTTTATGAAAATAGATTAAAATTTGTAAATGAGTTCTTTTACTCTGTTGTCAATGGTCTTTTTTACAATTGTTTGCTAGATATCTAGAGGGAGATTTCTTACCTGAAAGTCTGAGATGAAAGATGAATGATGAAAAGAGGATGAGGGATTTATCATTGCAATGATTGGAATGATCTTCAAAGTATAAGGAGGAGAAGGTATGGATAACATGTCTGGAAGAACATTATCTTTTCCTTTTATATGTTTTGTACTGAATGAGTACTTTAAAAACCATTGCGAAAGTCTTAGCAACTATGCATTTGGCATATGTTTTTCCTTAAAATTTTATCATTTGATAGAATGCTTCAGTTTATGAGATTCTCTGTGATATTTTCTGCCATATGGGAGAATCTTCTATCTCTTTGAAAGATTTTCATCTGGGAAGTCTTCAAGTGCCTATGCAATATGAGGCTACACAATGTACTGGCCATCTTTTAAATGCTTGTTTAGAAAATCAATTTCTATTGCATCAATAATCATTTTTTTTAAGCATTATTTCATACTATTGCATAATTTTTTGGAACTTGTCTAGTAATTGTGCATAAGTTATCACATTTAGAGAAAAAATGAGGATATCATCAACGTAAATAGTGCACTTTTAAGGATTGGAGAAAATATTTTTTTGTCATCGCTTTTTGAAATAATGATGGAGTTATTTTCAAACCAAAGAGTAAAACTGTCCATTGAAAATATTATGATGGATGTAAAACATTGTTTTGTATTTGTCTTGTAGATGTATACCTAATTGCCAAAATCTTTTCCTGAGATCAAACTTTGATAATACTTTTTACCTATGCCAATTTGTGAACAATAATTTCTTGTTGGGAAGAGAAAACTTATCATTTGTAAAAAAAAAATTAAGAGGCTTGTAATTGATAACCAGTTTTAATTTTGCTTGAATTTGTTATGATATTTTGTTCACATAGAATGCTTCACTTGCCCATGGTGAAAAAGTTGGTTCAATCAAGCCTTGAGCTTGGAGTTGCAAACATTCATCAATAGCTAACTTGAGGTGATCTGTATTCATGCCTAAATGATTAGCTTTTGTAGGATTGACATCTTCATTCTTTTTTAAAGGAAAAGCAATGAAGAATTCAGGTTTTTGCCACAATGGATTCTTACATTTTTGAAGAAATTTTGAGTAAGAGTTTGCACATGAGATTTGGACTATTTTTTGCTTGATTTCTAGAATAAATCTGTTTGGACTGTCATGGTGAAAAGGTTGGGAATGTGTTTCTAAAACTGAAAATAACTTTCAAACTTGTTATCTTTTTCACTAAGCTTTAAACTTAGAATACTGGTAATAACATCAAAACTAATAACTAGGTCTTTCTGTGAAAGTAGTGATCCTAAAATTCTTTGGATGATTTGACAACCTGAAAAAATTTCAAAGGTGACAGGTTTGTTGATAAAATCTATGGATAAAACATTTTCATCAATAGTTTTGAAAAAAGTTTTTTATTTTTTCTAAAAGGATTTGGGTAGGACAATGGGATTAGCAATAGTTTGAGCTACACCAGTGTCAAAGAAAGTAGTAACTCTTATGGGATAAGAGTGTTTATGAGTTAAGATCTGGACTAGGGCTAAAGGTGTTTTTGGAGGCTGAATAGTTTGGATTCTTTGAAGTTCTTGGATGGACATATACTCAAAGTATTGATCATCATCATTTGAGTAATTATTTGAGTTTATGTCTGAACTATTATCAACATATTGCTTGATCATAAATAATGACTAAGGAGTATGTTTATCATCAATAGAGAATACTGATTCGAGATCATCATTCGAAAGATTAATATTTGAGATATTTGCAATATCCTGTATCGTCTTCACAGACTTCTTTTCAAACTTTGGGCAGTTTTTTGCAAAATGGCTTGGTTTTTCATAAAAAAACATTGGTTGTATTTTTTCATCGGGTCTTTTTTCTTTCTGTTGAACTTGAATCTTTGAATTCTTTTAAACTTTCTGAAGAGTTTCTTATATCTAGAAATATGAGAGTTTTTAAAGTGTCTGGACATATTGAACTTTCTGAAATGTTTTTTTTTCTTCTTGTGGCAAATACATAGGGAGTCTTTTGAAGAACATTTGATATGTAAACCAGTTGAAGAATAAGAACATGGTCTATAAATTTTCTAAAGTTGTTCACCAAGTATGCAATGTACTTATGCTTTTTACAAATCTTGTCAAGGGCTCTCATTATAACCTTGTAGATATCACCAAGGTTCATGTTTTTTAAATCAAGAGACTTGAGATTAACCTGAGTCCTTATTTATTGGGCAAGTTATTCTAGAATTGAATTGAAAAAACCTTGCTTCAATTAACATCATCGAATCCCCTAAGTAGATAGAAATACTAAGAAAACTATTGTTAGTGTCTTTTAAGATCATTTAGATGGAATGAACAACATTTTAACTTCAAAAATTGTTCTATGATCTTATCCATTCGATGAGCTCTTTACTCACAAAATATTATTGAAAATTGATATATAGCTTCTGTAATTGTAAGGCATTAGAGAAATTGTAATTGCCTGTATTCACCAATATTATTTTAAAAGTTTTTGAGGGTTCCAACCAATTTGGAAACAAATCTTATTAAAATTATTTGCATTGTGATGTTAGGATTGGAGTTCAATTTAACTAATCCCCATGCTAGGAATTTTTGGAATCTTGAGTGCCATTTGATAGGAAGAATGCCATTAATTGTGAACATTGAGAATCTCGATAAGAATAAGAAGTTATAAGCTTGAGGAGGAGTTTGTTGTTAATCACTCTTCATTGGTTTTGTGTTGTGAACTTTTGGATTATCATATGAAACTTTAATTTTTGGTTTTGTCATAAAGATCTATGGGAAAATACTTTTAGTGTTTGTCTTAACTGATGCAATTGAAAATATTTCATCAAAATCTACCATTGAAGAGTTTGATGCATTTTTAGTAGGAAAGATATCTTTAATTGAAAATTGAGGAAAATTTTCTTATGCCATCTACTTAAGCATGTCAAGGAAGATGTTTGGAGTGGAAGAAATCATTAGTTGTGAAGGGGGTTTGGAGGAATCACTGGGTGTGGTTTTAAAAGTGAGGGTAAAGGAGGTTGCAATAATGGTTATTGTTGATTTTGGTTTTGGGGGTTGAGGAAGTGGTGTTCTGCTATCCTTTTAAGTTTCTATTCCATTGGCTATTTTTCTTTGAATCTATTTATCTATTTTTTAATAGTGCCAAAGGGAAGTTGTTCTAAAGGAAGAGTGTAGAATGATTATTCTAAGAAGGTGTGAAGAATGGTTTTATCTGAGAGTATAAGGTTTGAGAGTATGAAGTTATGGTTATGGATGCAGGTGTGAATATTGGTGTGGTTGGATTAGGTTAATATTGGAATGAGGTGAAGAATGGTTTTAAAGGTGAATGTGGGGTGTATGCTTGGTAAA